ATGGAACTACTCAACCATTGGGGTGAACGCAAAGGCCAAACCTACAAAACTAGGAAGAATTAGTGGGAACACAGACTCTGCACATTATTTCCACGAACTCAGACTTATTGTAACGACATAAAAATATGCCACTGATGTAGAAAAGGCTTTACTCTCTGTAAGTACACTACTACACGCATCTGGTATAGTACGAATCTATTCTGATGTCTTTTAGAGCGCGCAATAGTCAGTAAGAATTTGATCGCAATGGTACAGCTAGCAGGATTACTTAAACTCAGCCTTTATGTAGGACGTTCAGAGTTTCTTTCTAGTGACAGTCAAAATGTCCGAAATTGCCATTCGCAACGTTGTCACTTTTTCCGCGTGACTCTTTCGTTCGTTAATCTTGGAGCGCGATCGATACTTTGGAGGATGCAGCCCATGCTCCCTAAATCTGGTTGTGTAGTCAGAGCAAACAGCAGTGGAAATGTTAGTACATCAGCGCAATATTGAAAAACGCCATTCACTGAGCTTTGGTTTAAAATTGTAGCATCCTTTTTACGAGCCGACATGAGATTACCTAAACAATCAAATCTACCGGCGATGACAGAGGAGACTAATATAACAGCTCGTTCAAGCAAAGTTAAAGTAGCTTCGGGTGAGAGAAGGAACGTGCCCTTGCCAAATCCAGTTTCGGTCGCGCTGTCTGTACCCAATAGAAGGAAGAATGGCCTGAAAGATCGTTAAGTTTCTAAGTCATGCAATATCCAGGGTTTTACTGCGACATGGTTAAAAGTTTGGAATGACGTAGGTTTAGGTCTCGCTTCCGGGCGTGTCACTCATGCGCCATGACAGACTTATATTTGTAGGGGTAAGTCTGTGTTCCCGAACAGACGTACAAAGAGAGACCGAGGGTATTCAGACGCGCAATTCCGAATTCTCTTTGGTTCCGCTTATAGTTATAAGGCACACATCTGCCTTATAGACTTGGTTTACCGTCGAAATCCAAACACCACATGGACTACCACAATGCAATGTTTAAGATGCACTCAAAGGAAAACTACACTCGGATCCTTATCATGGGTAATTTCAATGTGAATCCCCCAGAATCCTTGCTAAAATAGGAGAACAATGCATATTCGATCTTCGGGAACTCGAAACCAGTGTTCCAATTTAACCATGCAATTTTGTCTGCTAGTTTCAGAACAAGTAACAAACATGTCAATTAGGTTGGATCTTAGGTCCACCAACGAGGAATAAATGATTGACGTCTCTGTTTTGGAGTGCCCGTTGGGAAACAGTGATCATGCAATAATCCGTCTCAAATTCATTTGCCGTGGGGCATGTCGAGATTAGAAACCTGAGGTGGTGCGCACCACTACTCGCTTAGACTGTGTAGCTTAGTCTGTCTTTTTCACAACATAACCGTTTGGATCTAACTGGTCAGCAATTTCAATCAGATGGTTACAGCCGTATCAAAAAGAGAATGGTTTGCAAAGGGTCTAAAATAGTTTCGTTCGTAGGAAGCAGAACCAGAAATTGATGACAGCATGCAATGTCGCTTGTTCGGCATATAGCTTATCTTCAACGCTCGATAATCGAGACGGCTGGGCAGCCCAAAATCACTACTACACTCAAGTGCGCAGAGAAGACAAAGCCGCACATCAGTAGAATATGTGAGGAACCTTCAATACGAACAAGAAACTAATGTACCTCAAGGGCCTACGTAAGGTGAGGTAAGGTATTCCTCCTCCGTGGCTGCTAATTAGCCAACAAGAAAGGTCACAAAAAAGCAAACGCTTTGTTGGCGCAACATACCCTCACGTTTCATCGGATCTCACTATCAGGCGATCTTTTAGCACATGTTGTCCTACCAGCGGGACGTCACCAGATTCCTTTTACGACGAATGTACTGTTGGAGGCGCTCACCTATCTGCATAAGCACGGATTTCCTGGTGTCGATACTATTCGTACGGAATCATTACAAGCAGCATCGAGGGATTGATAGAACGTTAAGCTTAACTGGTTTAGCGCCGCTTACAACAGAAATGTGTTCCACTGCTGCGGAGTGGTTTTCCCCAAGGCATCAGGAGTTCAATTTCCATTTAGTATTTAATAAGCAACTAAACAAAACGTAACTCGGAAAGACATTAAATAATAGTTTTACTTCGATATATATATAGGGCCGACCTAGACATGTAGATTTCGCGCATTCCTTTCACATATTTTGTTGTATTGTTTCATTCTCCGCCTGGACTTCACAACTATTTCTCGTTTTTGATGCGGTCGGATTAAATGAAAGTTAACTGCAATCCTTTGTTTCCAAATGAAGAAATCCCTTCATTTCTTGAACTTAACTTATTTCGTCCTGTTTGAAGAAGGTAGAACTTATCCTTCTCTTTTTTCTCTTTTCTGGCATAATGTGATCTGAAATCTATAGTTGCTGCATTTACGGTTGTTTGCGCCGCCGCTGAGTAATTTATAACGCATCAGTCAGTGTTTTTCAACATTAATGGAATTCCTCCAAAATAGCATGTCTCGTGTTGACAGGAACTATTTTTGTTGTTCATTGTTGTTTATTGTTCATCCTTTTTTACTCTTCTTTTATTGTTGGTCGAGAATTGCCCTATTTTCTGTAGTGACAGTGAACATTCTAAGAGACAGTGAATACATAGAAGGCGAAATGCTTACAGATTTATTGACGTTACTACAACGTGTTGTCTCCAAAGGAGTAACATGGGCCGGATGTTTGAAATGACCACCTTAATTACATTTAAAGTTGGCCCAAAAAATGCAAAGATGTGCCAAAGCGTGATGGTCTGTTAGATTTTCGGCCACAACTGGACGTGTATAGATTGGGCTGAAGTGCCTGCTCTAATCGCGAATGCAATGATTTGGGAGATGAATCAGCGGTTTGATGACCTTCACGCTTTTAAGTCAAACCGGTACGTGGCCAGATGTGATTGAAAGTGCGGGTGAAACGTATAGTGGACTGATCCGCGTAAATGCAGATCCCCAGGAAGCGGTTCCACCAATAACTTTATTACTTTAGTTGAATTTTCATTTCCTTTTCTCTTTACGTCTGGTGTAGGCCTTGCTATATGTTAGGGCATATGTTCTATTTTGTGATTGAAATGGCGTAACATGATCATACAATACTGATCACGGCGGAAATGACATAATTCGTGAAACCGAGAGTATACGTTATCCTGGTGTAGCTTGCGATAAGATCTCAGATTCACAGAGTCGGAGGCAGGATTGAGCCCTCCAAATACCGTCTAGAACCTAATCTTACTCTACTACCCAAAGTACCGGAAGTCATCGTTGCCGATGCATGCGTGTGCCATTGGAAAAATATACGACCTTACGGCTCTCGAGTAATAAAGCTTCCGTCGACAGTGATCGTTTGCAACGAATTTACTCACAGTACGAAGACTTTGGAGTCAGCTGAACCGGTGAAGACGTTGAGGTGAACATTTTACATTCTGTAGGACATCCGATGGTAGTGATACTCAGATTGTGCTTCTTAAACATCGGTATTACGAAGTCGTTTGCACTCATTTTAGCAATATTGCTATGTTTCACCTTTAAGAATAGTTTGTTGTCGGATTTCTAAGTTACTCAGCTGACCACATACACTTCAACTTTGAAGTATCACAAACATCTGTATTAGGGTCATTATTAAAGTAGGAGTTATTAATGACCTTTCACAGACAATCGCTTCAATTTTGTTGTTTGCCGACGACATCACGACTGGCGCTGGATTCAGGCGGAGGTTGATCGTAATTTGCATTAGTATGACAACTGATGCATTATCGGTCAAACGGAATTATGCTGTAGTTGAAAATGGGCAAATGCAAGTTGCCTTCACTAAGGCACGAGACTAGCTAATAAACATCCAGGGAAAAATTACTGCAGCGATGTTTAGTCGAACGCGACCTGGGGGTGTTGGTTCAGGATTAATTGGGTTGCTACAAGCAATTGCCACTGGGATTGAAAACTTGTATTTTACACTTCGGTCGGTTGTAACGGACGTTCGGGCATATGGACATCAATATTTCGACAGATGCTGGGTGCGCAGATGCGCCCTTTGTCAACTACGCAATTCAAACCTGGCAGCCATGGTTTGAGCACAGTTTTGCTTTACTCAAGGAGTATTAAAGTCGGGCTTCCAACTAGTTAATTTACGCACAACGACTGATATGTTTTGGACTACTCAGCGAACAGTATAAGCGATTATGAGGCGACCTGATAATCTCAAACTTGATTTCGCACAATTCTTCTCATGTTTTTGGCTTTTGACTGGAACCTAACAGTAACGCGCAATGAGGAAGTCATTATTTGAAACTAGCTGAGCAGTGCAGCCGCATGAACTGCGTTAGAATTATTCTCTTTTTATGCGTGCCAGCCGTGGATTGCTCCTTGAATCAATCGATTCTACACCTACAGTTGGGTGATGCATTTAACGACTTACATTTTGTTACTTCGCAATAGCTTTAAACACAATCCCCATACACACCGATGAGTTATTAGCTGCAGTTTGTTGGAGCTGTAAAACTACGCGAAACGCAAGACTACTTCATTTAACATGACGGGACCACTCATTTGACAGTAGGATAACTACCTGACTTTTCGCTGACGACTACTGATAACGCATCGGACCACAATACTTGCCTTGTAACGCAGTACTTCATAAACTGTTTAAAGTCATTGCTTTTTGTTTACGGTTCAAAGGTTAAAATAACACAAGTAAACGCCGGGTCATAAACCGACTGACTTAGCTGGGATCAGGATCCCACCAAACGTATGCAGTTGCAAAAGGAAAACATCTGAAGTTGCAGAATCAACTTGTCAATGAACAAATTGTAGTTTTCTGTCGACGAATTTAAAATGACTAACAAATGAGTGTGCACTCGAACGTCAAGGGCTTATAGCTACGCTTATCTAATGTGCATTGCTTGGAGGTGCACATTCTAACATCATGTTGATTTAGTATCCGGGAATACAGAAATTTAACTCACTTTGATCGCAACACCAAAATCATAGAGAAGCAAGGGATGTCCAGATTCAAGGCGTAACTCAAAGAGATCTGACGCTGCTGTTGTAACACTGCTGGTGGTGAACAAAAGCGCGAACTGCTGTCGAGTGCTGAAGCGAACTAGAACACTTTCTGCTGCCGACTGAATTGGGAGTGGGCCAAAATCCACCCTCAACCATTGGTGTCCATTGAAACTGAGGACAGTTGGCTCTTGTCAGAAATGAACAAGATTTTATGAATAATTAACGTGTGAACTGGACAAGGTGCTAAGAACGAATGCTTAACATATAACACATTGTTTAGCTACGTTTAAAATCATTGCGCTCCCTTGTGATAATGATATCGCATCATATACGCTAACCGTTCAGTGTATAATAGTAGTATTAGTATTACTACAATCGACAATTGGTTAGGATTTATCCCTTTCTGTCAAGCTATGACGAGGGTGCAGCAAACTCAAAAAGTTGATCCTTTTTAGGTAAGTGATAACCAAATGATAAAGGCACATTAATATATATTTTATATATGTTTCACCATCCAAGTTCCATCTGAACAATTTATGCACTTAGGCAATTTCCATATAGCTAGACCTGTAAAAATTTAAAGCAGTTAATTCCTTTCAAAAATCTGCAAAGCACGGAAAGAAGACGAAGGCTGGTATAATCCTGCATTTCGTATTGTCTCCTCAGTACCATTACCAGTAACCGATATGCATAGATGTAGCTAACAGTGGGTGCAACCAGACAAGCTTAAGGTGCAAAACGAATGACGGAAGTTCACATCTACGTCCAAGGCAGCTTTAGGCTGACAGATAAGGCTGACAAGGCTGGCTTAATCCGGCTTATTGCGACTGCCTCAGCAAATCGAAGGAAGCGAGGATTAGGGTGACGTAACACAAATTTAAACGCTGAGCCCAGCTCTAATTGGTGACCCGAGTCTAATAGGTGTTTGCCTATCGAGGAAGCCGGCGGTCTGCGCGAACATGGAATCTGATGAGGGTAGGCAATCTGAGCAACTTCACGTTGAACCCATCTTGGCACATGTTCCTTTATTCGGGAAGTCAGCGTTCTATTGGTTTGGCCTATGTAACTTTTTCCGCAGTCACATACAAATTGGTATACACAGTGTGAGTTGGCCCCAATAGGCTGAGCTTCCTTCGTTGGAGGTATGGGCAAATTTCGGATTCGTTTGATAACGACAACTTGTGCAGCATAGTAACTTCCTTGTGTAGCCGAAATTATACGCTTAGTTGTCTTCAGCGTGGCTAAGTCACCTTTGAAAGGTAACTCGATATACACTTTCTTCTTGGCTGCCTTGTGCACCAAGCCCTTTGGTCCTCGCGGTTGGCTGTGTTTCTCGATAAATCATTCGAGGGTAGCCTTTTGCCATTAGTGTTGCTGTAATTAACACCAGCTCATCGTCCAGACAGCCGGCCGGACAAATTCGTCTGGCACGACTAACTAGAGTCTTCACAAGTGTCCGTTTGTACCGCACTGGTGTGAAGCTGGTGAAATGCAGGTACTGACCGGACCAAGTTGATTTTCGGTAAATGGACCTCTTAATCAATCCATCATGCGTGCGACTTATGAGTATGTCCAGGTATGGCAGACAACTGTTCTGTTCTATTTCGCATGTAACGCGTAAGTTAGCATGAGCACCATTGAGCCGTTCTAACAAATGTGAAAGCCGCTGCTCCGACGAACAGAGGGCTAAGATATCAACGACATATCATTTGTAGTATGGCACCTGGGCTATTTCCGTAGAAATGCTTCTTTCTACCATCAGCATGAAGAAATCAGCGAGCACAGGACCTTATGGGATACCCATTGCTACGCCGTTAATCTGACGGTATGGTTTATTCCGAAGTGAAAATCCACATTCTCCGTGCACAATAGTAGAGATTCTCTTAGCAATTCAGTCAAAATTGGTAGGGAACAGCCACCGTTTTCAGCTAATTCGCACAAGTAATTAATCGTCTGATGTAGCGGAACGTTGGTAAATAAGGATTCTACATCCAAGTAACATATAACTTTGTCTGACAGGTTGAGTTCATCCAGGCCATAGATGAGTTGAAACGCGTCTTTAATACTTTACGGATTGAACTGTTGTTTCAGCGGAGCTACCAGTTTCATTAACCAACGAGCGAGTTTATGCTGGGGCGCGTACATCACTGAAAAGATTGGCCTGAGTGGCACTTCACTCTTATATGTCTTTGGGAACCCATACAACTGTGGAATAGTGCTACCACTCGGCTTCAAACTATTACATGTAGCAAAGTCTATCACGCGGTGGAGGAGAAGCAATTCCAGGTGACGAACTATGCGCGTTTCGACATTGGTTATGTTCCCCACTGAGGAGACAATACGAAATGCATGCATCTACCAGCCTTCGTCTTCTTTCCCATAAAAAATTGCCGGATGGCATAACCTGTCAATTACCCATGTCTAACAGTGATTTGAAAATATGTCAATCAGCGAGACAGCGAATCCAAGTGCCGTAATGCCTAGACTGCGTAAGTTTTACACAATCGATTCTCACATTTCTTAACTACCATACTTCGGATATTTACCGGCTCACACACCATTTATCGGAATATAATGAATTACCGAATGCACCTCTGTTCTGGTTCATTTAAAAATTCGCAATGGAATGTCAGGGAAATTAGTTTTATTGAGGCCTTGCTCAGTTGAGTACCATAGAATAGATTGCTAAGGAGAGCACATAGTTCGTTAGGCAAACTTCCGTCTTCATCCATTTGGGAATTACCTTTCGTGCAATCATCACCTTCGAAGTCCGTATCGCCACAATCACAGCTGTTTTGCATCCAACCAGCTGTGCACCTTCCACTATTGGAACAGTCGGAGCTGCGGCATTTGCTATTTGTTGCAGGTGAATTGCAACCGCGCTGCACATAACCATCAGCCCAACAAGCCCGAGATTCCAAATCCAAATCCCAAGCCTGGTTGTCCACGGTAAAGGATCCAAAGCAACCCTTGAAGTCCATGCTCAAACGAGCTGACAGAACCTCCGGTGAGATCATATCACTGATAAATCGAATGGTTTCAGGTAGTCCACCAATATAGAATTTACCATTCAAGTTGAGAAATTTGTACCTTGAGAAGGGACAAATAATGTCGATTCAATATCAACAATTATTTTCTATATGGTAGATGCTTTCGTGGTGTTATATTTATTATATTAATGGAAACGCCACATATGGTTGACCATATAAAGCAGTGCACAACGTCTTATCTCATCGCAGTATTTACATATGGGTGACGGTAACTATGGCAGTAGCTGTCAAGCTGACATTGTTCCAATCTTGCATTATTCAAAACATAGAAATAACCTTTTGGCATCAATTGCTCGACAAAGCTGCTTATAACAGTTTTAACCCGAGTGGATCAACCACACCACAGCTATATGCGCTGCCAAAAATGCAAAAGACCGGAGGACAATCGGTCCTATCTTATTGATGACAAACGCATAAAAGTGAACTGGCGCGCAGGTTGATAATTTAATATCTCCGCTGAGGGTACACTTGATCTGTACGTCCTCAAGATTTTTTTGAGCTAGTCGAAAGTCTCGAAGAAATGAAAATGTCCGATGAGTTGCTGTGTTTTTTAGATATGCAGAACTTGCTTAATTACATTTCCTTGCACCAGACGGTTACTTACATTTGCGAATTAGCGGGGAATTTTTGAATACTCGTTGCTATTACAGGTTGAGGTACTAAGGAAATAACCGCTTATTAGCACATATAACGTCAAATTTTAATTCCGGAACATCTCATAACTTCAAATTGGTGTGGTGGCCATGAGCAGCCCAATGCGTTCTATACTAGAGAATTTCTCCTTGTTGGTGATAGTGCGTGGTTTATCGGAACAACCAGCATAGTTATCCTATCATAAACTTTATGTGATATCTTGACGTTCTGTTCAACAGAAATGCGTTTTAATTCCTATCATAATAACCTCAGCTTCTTGGAAATGTGTCAAAAGAACTGTCTTCCCTATTTACGTTTTCTCATCAGAAGCTGGGAGAACGGACAAGTAAAATGATCCTACTCCTGAACGACGACGTGGTCCGGATAGTATCCGAATTTTACCAGCTTTGTACTAATACTGTACAAGGAAATGTTGCGAAAACACTATTTACTAGTGCCAGACAAACATGTTTGGCTGACTGCCCAGTTGTTGAAAATTAGCTGTTTACCAATACGGTACTTGTAATTGTATATCCTTGGAAAGGTATCACGTAGCACAGTCAAATCTACGAAATGATAGGCGAGGCACCTAAGTACCTAAGAAAAATGTGTTTTTAGACTAGCCATTTAAGGGTGACATAGCTACATTTAGGACTACAAATCGTCTGATTTCTGCCACACATAACAATTTCTCTGCTGCCGTAGAAGCACTCACTTATAGTATTCATAAATTGCCGCTGCATCCACTGAAGTAAACAGCCTATCGGGATTAACTTAGATTGCGTATACAATTTCGTTTTTAACTGTTGAGCGAATAGCATAGGCCGAATCGATAGGATAAAAAATGCACACTTGATGAAAGTAGTTCAGTGTGAAACTGTGCGGAAAACAGGCTCAAGCAAGACTACCATTTTACGGAAGCGGCAGACATGATTGATCGGCAGACACTTTCTGACTTCAAGTCACCAAAAGGATGTCAGCAAGGCGATCAGGATCTTACTACGCCATGCTAAATCCCGGCACCTGTGGGTTGCTGCATTTGTTGCCATAAATTGGATTAAACCAGTGCTTTACGCGCAAAAGTAATCATCGGTCAGTCTCAAGTTGATCGGGATGGTGTGTCAAGACAATTAATAATACTCTCGTTTGTCGGTAGGTCTGTTAGCAAACCCAAACTGTTTTTTGTATTTACCAGTTATCGTCATCCGCATTGATGAAGCGATACGAAGTGCACGCATCTACCAAAATTCGTATTCTCACTTTAGTATTCAGTAAAACATTTTGCTCTTGACAACCGCCATATTACACAAACCAATCTTTAAAGCCATCGACGCCAAGCATTGGCTTCAAGATCAATTACGTTATTCTGAAACCATTGTTATATTGACAGGCTAAACAACCTTCTCGTACATTTCACAAGGTCTAAGGATATCTAACTTCCATATAAATGTTATGTGTACATTATGTCTGAAGCGTCAAAGCACCATTTATTTGTTAAGCCACTGAATAGCTAATTTATTACCTATTCATCAATTTCCATCGATCATCCATGTAATTGTCGCTCCCACTGCCGTTTACTATCGATCACTCGCGCGAATCATTACGAGAGTAAATATGGGCCACTAGAGTTGTATATACATGAACCTCAAAGACCTTTATAAAATGGAAGTTTTGTGTTTGGCATGATGATGACCAGTAGCAGCCCCTTTGGATACTGATTGTTCAGATTTTCGAAAGCTTTTAGACACACCATATACTGTTAAGAAATGCAAGAAATTGGGTGCATTAAGGCAATCGTAAGATAGCGCATGACTCAGAGTGATCGAAAATATTGTGCATAGAGTCAGTGAAACAATAGACTATAGGGAGAAATAAGAAGCAATATATTTCAATGCCGCAAATTACTGCTGGCGTAAACGTATCTTTCACAGCAGTTCAGAGCTCGTCTATAAAGCAGTATGAAACCAAATGAAGATAAAATGCATTAAGATAAATTGTCGTTACACTACGTAGTAATTAAATCATTGGCGTACGTGACGGGATGATATTCAGGTTATATTCTGCCTCACTCTAATTTATTCCTTTGCATTGTTTCAAATTACAATGATCATAAATGATGAACTAGTGGAATGGAACCGTATACGTAGGTTTTATTATTACCCTGGACTTCAATAGTTCAAAATAATCCAACTGGCGTAATAGCTGGAGTTTTTTCATGGCGAAATTTGCAACCACGGCTGCTCCGGCACGCAGACATTCCTTACAATATGATCACATTGACTTGGCATTCAATGAAGAGTTCATTCTACCTTAGTTCAATAACTGAATATGAAATCACTGAATAGTGATGGGCTATACCACTAACACGTATTTTGTAAGAAGTTTATTATCCTAATAGAAAACATTTAATGTTGAGCATTTAGTGCGTCAGAAAACCTCTAATTCTTAAAACCATTGTCACTTATAACGGTATTTCTTGATTACTTTTACCATCTATCGGAATCAACAGCAATCTGCATATTAAACTAATAAAAATTGCTTTACGCTTCCTTAGTTTCAGCCGTTTACACTGCTAGAGGATACTTAACATGTTCTTGTCTATTAAGTCTTTTCTGTTTCCCATATCATGAGCTGACAAGATTACGGTCGACCATTATTCATCACAATTGTTCAGATCAATAATCCCGGGCTGCTGACCAATATTGAGGGATAGGTTTATAGATATTTTCCTCAAACAAAACTTTCATTCAACAGATCCATTTGCTAAATCAGTTTGAACTCCTGTTTCAAGTTTTCTCCTGCTTGTGCGCTTGGTAATGTCAAATCCGCGCATCCGCGGGCTCAGCTTCATCGCCTCATTGGAAATTTATGTGCCTACACTTATATACATGGTTCTGTTTTACGCTCTGCAACCTATTTTTCCTGTCGTGTAATTATGTGCTGCTAAAACACATATGTGTAGAAAAATAATCAACTACTCATATAGGCTGGTTTTAGCATGCTAAGTAGTTGTTTACCTGGAAATAAACTGAGTTACTCCGGAGACTTTGGAGCGAACTGGCAATAAAGTACTGAAATTCCGTAAAATTATAGTATGTAAAGAAGACGAAGGCCGGTTTACAATAAAGTATGCATGATCTTGCGCAACTTACGTCTTGATAGCAGCTGTGTGCGAAGCATACACTTTGTTATCAACATTGATCTGTACATTTCCCTCGTGAAATTTTACTTGAACTTGGTGTATCATTCCGTCGTTTAACCTTCGGTTTGTCGTAGATCCATCGGATGTAAATTGTGAACTCATTTGGAATGTACCAGATCCCATGTTTATCACTGAAACTAAATGACCGCCTCTCAGTTCGAGTGCAAAACTGTCGTACCCAGCACCGCCTTCTCCCGGGATCGCAAAATGCGGGCTATACGACACCCAAGTTACATCAGTTTCGCTAATCGACGAACTATAAAGAATGAGCCCATTCAGTTCTATTGTACGAAACTTGAAAGACAAAGTCCCAGATGAAACTACTGACCACCCAGAAGCAAGTAGATAACTTCCAGGTCTGACAAAATTGACGAATTCTTTAGCTGTGTTATCCTTCATTTGTTCGCCAGGAGGGTTTGCAGTTTCCACAACAAGAAGTGCGTTCCTGCAATTTGAATGCAACAAGTTCTTTGATAGTGTGGTTTTAATGTGTCTCGACGGTGGCGGTACATCAGTCAGTAACATATTGGATTTTCTTGAGGAATACGTTATCTGCAAACAAAAGCGAGCTCTATAAATCATTGCTTAACGGCAGTGAGCATATGCCAGGATCTTAAGTCAATAAATACGTATTTTTTACACAAGTATACTCCGGCACGAAAGTTCATATTTAATATCAACATTTATCTCAATATTCTGCTTGTGAATTTACTAATTGATTTCTTCTCTGTTTTTGTGAAATTAAAAGCGAAGTATACATTTGACGATAAATACAAAGCTTCCGATAAGGAAAGTAAATAATACATTCAGAACAAGCTATCATAAACTTAAAGATGCTTATTGCTATAGTCGGTTTATATTACACGAGAGGATCTTACACAATGTTAATGCAAAATGTCTGACAGTTTCGGCGAGTATGACATTGATCACTTGACGATCGCAAATCAGAAAGAAAGTACTGAAAAATATATTACGATTAAGCGAATTCGGTTGCGACCAACTTACAGCAGTCACCGCAATTTTCCTATAACTTTAAGTTAGCTGGGTAAATTGAAATTAAACTTTTGCATTAAACAGAGATGTCCAATCGGATCAGGCCTGGAATCTTGCTAGGATGCCTCTGGGATTAAGGTTAATATCCTAGTCAATAAATATTATCAAAATGCCCATTCTGCTCAAATCGCTTTGTTGGAACAAATGCACGCTCTCCTTACGTTCTGTGCTATGGAGTAGGTCAAGATTAAACAATTTTCGTATTATAAGCCGCTATGTATCATCCCGTACTTCTACTGAACTCGAAGGTACCTCACCAAATTAGGCACTTTCTTCTTGGAACCGTTTTCCTTGAACTGTTTGCATTATATTTTGGCATTCTCAGCTGCCAATAAAGTGGTGCTATTACCATTCTTGATGTAGGACTGATTAACTAACGTAACATTACACAAATAACTAGTGTCAGTTACCAAAAGTTAATCGGTACTTATTAAATGGTGCGTTGCTTTGCGTCACGGAAATGGAATTAAATTTCACTTGCAGATACCTCCTTCTACGTGATACTCCTCTGCGTCAACTAATCTCTCAGGATTTATAAACCTAGTAGAATTGATCGTCGCACTGAAGTCACTGATGTTTTGCTCTAATACGGATTACGGAGCTGAACTGATGACAATATAGGGTATTTTGCACTTAAAACCCAGCACAAAATTGATGTATTTTCCTCTGCTATCAAAAATAAGGATTAGTTATGAAATTAGATTTGAAACAAATTGCCCCATTTAAACAAAATGTAACAAAGCTTACATGTCTCATACATCCGCGGAATATTCCTTGTTGTAATTGGTCAGCACTGTTTGACGGTGGGAACAAACTTGGAGATGGTTTTCCCAGGTGTATTTCCCGGATGCTTAAATGACCGGCAAGTTGGGGAAAATTCCTCTCAATACTGTTTTGTTCGTCGACGTACACATTCACCTGATCAGTAGAGAAATTATACTGAACCTCACTGCTGCATATGACAAAATTTTAAGTTCAAATTTATAAAATCTGCCTTAAAGTTGGGTACTTCATGCTAGTGCACAACTAACTAGTTAGCAAATTAGTCCAGGCATGATTCGTGCAAAGTTAAGGAAATAGCTTAATTTTATTCATTTTATTAATTTGGTCTCAAGTGTTTTTATGCATAACAGAGCAATCTAAATTTATATCTGTAGTTCCAGAGCAGCATAAATTGCATTGGTATTACAAAATCTTTTTCCACAAGACATAAAAACATATTTATTGGAGAGAAAATAATTCATGTAACATAAAACGATAAAATTAATTCTCAAGCTGAGCAAAATAGTCTAGTACAACACTAATATCTTCGCAATGAGGCTGGACATTACCGTGGTGCGATGGTTTGTGTGCCTCAGCGATCTACTTAGCTATGCTGTGTGGTGCTTTATTTTGCACCTTCAGAGCCACTCATACCATATTAGTCAACGGTTAGAGGCAAGACAAAGTCAGTCTCCTAGTACTCCAGGTTAGGGTTGGAATCAGAGTGGCTCCTTTTTTCCTAAAACCGAATCCTTTTAGTCCACCGCCAAATCCACTGCCTTGTGGTAAGGTTTATGAACCAAAGGCTTTGGTTGAGAACACTAATCGTTCTCCTGTCTAGGTCAGTGCAACCTGACTATCCCTCTCACTCAATACAATGAATTTTTATTCCAACAGTTTCCTGCTGCACTGGCCGTCGCAGATGATAATAAATGGCGTATTATCTGCTGCGTGGGGCAGGGTGGATAAGGTCTTGGATGCTATTGCTCAAGACTTTCTGTCTTCTCATTCACCTTATGCAGTTTCACACATACAAGTCTCTTCAAATTCCACTTTATCTCCAAGTATTCAACCTACCGATTCTCAGCCCTCCCGAAGATGTTTTACTAAGCCTTTGTCTTTTAGTTTCAACTCACGTGCAAAAGCGGAGCGTCACTCCTGTCCTATCCACAAGCCCGTGTCTAACCAAGCGTTCCTCCGCAGTTTATCGGCTTCCATTTGGAGCCCTCCATCTTCCTTCAGATTGGCGTGCTTCAATGTACGCACATTACTACAGGTCGGTCAACAGGCAGCACTTGCCCGAACATTGGAGAACCTATCTATTGATAGCTACTGCTTATCGGGGACCCGCCTGCAAGACTCGAGCTCTTTGCTTACTCTGCGATCTCCTTCAGGTGACACCAGCAGTATTTTCTCATTGCGCCTATCCGATGACCATGCAGCTTCAAGCACCGGCAAAGCCGGAGTTGGCATTGCCCTGAGTCCCCGGGCTGAAGCAGCTCTGGTTGATTGAATCCCAATCAGTAGCCGGATGTGTGCGGTCCGATTGGCTGGCTCGTTAAACCTTCGACGTCGCGCGGCACTAATGGGTGTCTATTCATCATCGCTGTCTGCGCACCCAAAAACTCTATTGATGATTCGGTGAAAAACGACTTCTACGACCAACCTACCGAGCACCTTCGCCACAGAGGGAGCACGGACACTGTTGTGCTGGAGGGGAACCTAAAGGCCTCATTTAGAAAGTCGTCCACTGAATAAATGCTTCTGAGCGGTCAGCACGGTGTAGGCTCCCGTAATGATAACAGTGAGCGCTTACTCTATTTGTGTGAATATGCCGGCTTATTTCTTGCAAGCATTAACTTCCGACATCACACCCACTGGAGGGTGACAGCGCCCATCAGCCTTGAACCAACTTTAGACACAAATCGATCACATTGCAATCAGTTACCGCTGGAGACGCTGCGTCCAGAACTGTCGTTCGAGTTGGTGCATATGTGTGGGAAGCGGCCATGCACGGGAATGTGCTGACATGTGAATGCATTTTAGTGGACGCCCACGTCGACGCTGTGAGCGCATTGAGACCAGTCAACTAACGAAACTAGCTGTTCTGAATGCTTAGCGTAATACGCTGAAATGCAGGTTGAGTAAGCGCTTATTGGAGTCAACTGAAGGTCACTGGTCACATGTTCACCAGACCTTACTGGCAGCAGGCGAATCCCATGTGGTAAGTCTAATAGCCAAAATGGACATTGGAGCTCTTCGCGGTCTCTGTAACCTACCGATGCACGCCGGCATATTCCGCCTGGAAGCGAGCACAATGAAACCCGCAAGGAGCTCCGGGCAAAACTCCGTGCTAGCCTGAAGACACATCGTGAATCCTGACGGTGTCATCGTGCATCCGAGATGGAAGTGGCCGCTGCTGTTGATAACCATCGAAAGTTATTCCGTCTGATACGGAAAACGGGCAGAAGGAGACCTGGTATTAGTGAAACAATCTAGGATGATTGTGCACAGCCTATACATAATTTGTCAAAACATTCGGAGCTTTGGCCTGAGCATTTTAAAAGCAATTTAATCGGCTAGAATTGTTTGATTCTTCGCCGGCCAGTGATGGCCCTGCTCCATGGACTGCCCCTTTGGATCCATCCCCTCGCTCAGAATTCGAAAGTGAGATCGGACAGTTGAAGTTGAACAAAGCCGCGGGACCAGATGATCATCATCCAGCCTACTACAAATTCGGAGGCCCTGCACTTACTGATGATTAACACGCAATACTAGTGAAACTGTGAGAAAAGGAAACTGTCACAACCGACTGGAACCGCTCTGTTATTGTTCCCATCTTCAAATGAGGCTCGCATTCGGAATGCGGCAGCCATAGAGGAATCAGTCTGATCCCCATCGCCTCTAGATTAGTTGCATCCGTAATCATTCACTGACTGGCTGACACTGGTGAAAGCCGGATTCGTGAGGAGTCAGTTGGTTTTCGTTGAGGTCGTGGCTGCATCGATCACATCCTCACTTTGTGGCAATTGTTATAGCAACGTCACACATAATGGCGATTCAGAGTAGTCTGGTTCCTCGACATTAAAGGTGCCTTCGATTCGGTTAATCAATGTGCCCTTTGGGACTGTCTACTCAGGAATGGTGTGCCCAAGAAATATGTAAATATTATCCGAGCATTATACGCTCGTAACACGGGAGGATTGAGTTTTTACGACAAGTTATCGTTTCCTTTCAATATCCCAATCGGTGTGAGACAAGGATGCTCGCTGTCAACTTTCCTCTTTAAGTTCGCTATTGGTGAAGTCATAGAGATTGCATTTACAGGACACGACATAGAAGATGTGGTGCTACTACCAGGAGAACGACTTCTTGACTTAGAGTATGCAGACGACATTGCCATCATCTCTGAAAGCTCACAAAGGTGCCAAGCTACACTGGACAGATTATCATTGGCCACCAGTCGTCTTGGGCTTTGTTTTACTCCTTCGAAGTCAAAGCTTTACTCCAAGTTTGGAAAGCATCGCTTGCTCCTCTGACACTTAATAGAGATCAGCTAATAATTGTTCAGAAATTCTACTACCTGGGAAATTGTATCAGCGCCATTGGGATCGAAGATGAGATCACGAACCTTTTGGCAAAAGCTGGAAGTGCTTTTGCTAATTTTCGGCACATTTAGCGGCGGCGCGACATTACTCTCACCCTGAAGGGTAGAGTTTACAATACAGCGGTATGTTCGACCTTACTGTAAGATTGCGAAACCTGTCCCTTTAGATCAGGGGACATAAAGAGGCTAGTTACGTACGACCATCGGTGCCTTCGCATTTTGGCTCACATTTGGTGGGAACATCGCGTGAGCAACGAGCGGGATCGTCACCCTGTTTACAGCACATTAAAAGGAACTGAACCGCTCAGCACGCACCAGCGTCCGATGGCTTGGCCACGTGTTAGGCATGCCAGCCCACCGACTCCCGCATCGTGCGTTGTTTGCTCACCGGGGATGTAGATGCAAGAAGAGGAGAGGTGGCAAAGCGAGGAATGGTCGAGAGAAAGGAACGCCCTCACTACGGTGCTGGCCTCGGTTGGAGCGTCACGGCTCCCTGGTTGGGGTCCAAAATAAGGTGAACACGCTTGGTTAGAAACGTTTGCTGATATGGGTAGCAGCCGACCTCAGTGACGTTCCTGCTGTGAGTTTCTTTTCCCCCCTCCATCTCTCTTAGCCTTCCCATCCAACTACGATCTCAGTTCAGAGAACAATCTAATTTTACATAAATTTTTGTTGCCTAGTGCAGGCTGGTAGCTTTACGGAACCAAACCCATCCGCTGTTGCTAGCTCAGCTGGCATGCAACCGTTGTATTTATTTTCTTCTTCTTTCATGTATTGCGGCACAGTAGCTGATGTGTTTTAAATTAGCCTAAGTATATAATGTTGATGAACGATGACAACAGTGGATAGACCACACACTTGCTTGCAAATCTTAGCCTGTTTCCTCAGGCGTTGCTTAATAGTACATCCATACCTTTCAGCAATTAATGACAAGGAGGTTGTAAACTTACCTTTTGTTTTGCGAACGTTATTTTAAGCTTGTGCCAATATGTGTCCGAACATGTGTTATAGTCCGAAATGCACTCCGTTGATACTTTGACGTCTGCATCTTGACTTATGCCAACCGGTTTATTCATTGGTCTAGCAGCAATGAACAAACTTCCATTGATTGAATGTAAACTAACAACAGTTTTGAGTGGATGGCTTGTTGTATGGTCTTCAAGTACATCCAATACTAAAAAGAAAAATCGCTAGTTGGTTATTTAAGGAAGGGGATTTCTAATCGGTTGTAATCAAAAGTAATGATCCGGAAATGGGTGGTGTCAAACCTGATAGGGAACCAGTTGGGTGGTTTACAAAGTATTCGAAGGATTACATTCATCTTGACACTTTTTATTATGAGAAAATGGCGTTGACCAAAAGGAGCCTTGTAGAGCGAGAAAAGCTGTTGAAGTATTTGATAAAATGTTAACCGTTTGTTTACTCGTATTAGGCGATCCACATTCGAATTCAGCGCAAGCATTCACTTGACCAGTACGTTTACCAGAGGTTTATAGATTTGGATGAGATTAAACTAAAATTAGTTACAAACGTCGACAATGTCTACCTAGTCCTTATAATACCATTTTGATATGGTGGAAACATCAGAAATATGCTGCGGATAGACATTTAAAGCAGCAAAATTATACACGATAAATCTATCAGTTAGGGATTGTACTACCAAGTCTTTTCTGTTAAATTATGTATATATATATATATATATATCTCAGAATTTACTTGGTGCCGTAACAGTCTCATAAATTTGCTATTCACAAAGCAAAGTGTTTAATGTGGTCCTATCTTTGCCTCGGTAGCATATTTATCGCAGATTAAAGTGATTGATAGTGGGTTTCATTTCTTTCTCTAGAATTTAGACCTGTTAAACAGGTACTAGCTATGGTATAGGTTTTGAACTAAGTGTGGGAAAGGAACCCATTTAAATAGTTAGATATGTATGTAAACGAATGCTTGGCTCAACATGAAAACACGTATCAGAACAAAAAATTACTTTCCTAATAATGTAACTGTGATTCAATTACTGTCGGAACAGCCTCTTCAGAACTTTTGCATTACAAAGGTGCAAATAGGGAGAATAATTTAATGTAAATCAATTCTGTTGATGCAGGTAATGATACAGGAGTAAAGAGCAAAAATTTAGGTTGTATCCACTTGGTTTCCTGATTAATCGGAATCAGAAGATGTTTCTGATTTTCAAGGTAATTTGAACATTCAAATTAGATTTATGCAAAAGAAGGTGTTCTAATGACGTCAAATAAAACACTGAAAAGTTCACTAACTGCCTTCGAAAGACCTAATGCAATTTTGTTTATAAATATCCCGCATTTTTCGGACTATAAGGTGCACTTAAAATCCTTATGTTTGCCAAACATCTGCAGTGCGCTCTAAGTATGAATGGTTATGGTGAGGCCTAGTGACCTCGAATCCATTTCTATGTTCTCACTGCATTGAAAACTGTGTTAAAATGTTTTATTAAAACTTTGATTGTCAAAGCATAATAGCTGCTGAAGAACCTGTGGAATCAGCTTTTTAGGTAGTTTAGACAGACTTGTTTTGGGGGCCGCAAACTTTATGCAGGAGCTAACAGATTCGAGCTTTTCTGGCGAAGATAAACCGACCTACTATTCAAACATCCACTCTGATATCCCGCGCTGTGATATAGGTGATGTTTACTCCACCCGACAAACTCACTTGGTCTAACAATGCACCTTGCAAACACTGTCTAAAACACGCACCTATATCTCCTTGGTTGCAGGTGAGTGTTTGAACACACCAGTGTTTCAAAGACGTGCGGTCATCCAGACAGTCGGAGACGTCCGTGTGAGCTTCACTCACATCATCGTCCAAACTGAGGTTTTCGGATAGACAACTGGAACATACGTTATCGTGCGTGTAATACGGAGGGAGTAACAGTGCACTTACGGAGGAATGCGTGATAACCTACAATCTTGTCAGTATATTAGGTCAAGCACGATAACATTATTCAGCGTCAGTCGCATGCTGTCGATCAATACGAAGCTCTTTCGCCTATCCCTACTACATTTCCTGATAGATACTGTGCTTCAACATACTGGTAATTAAGGACCCCAAAATGACACTTGTTAAGATGTATGCTTACGAATAGGAGTTCAAACACAAGACCAGCAGACACGCAGTACAACATGGGGATAGAGCAGCTGCGAAACAATTTAGAAGTAATGCATCCATGGTACGAAAGTGGAAGAAGCAAGAAGATAACCTGCTCCAAGTGAAGAAGACAAAGAAGATGTTCGCAGAGAACAACGCATGATGGTCACAGTTAGAAGACAAAATTGAGCTGTGGATTACTGAACCAAGATAAGCAGGTAGAAGCGTCCCTACAGTCTCCATTCGATTCCAGGCAATAACGGTGGCACATGATATGAATGATATATGACTTTCAAGAAAGTCATTCTTGCTGCTTCCGCCTTATGAAAAAGCGTCCTCTCACCATCCGCACAAGAACTACCACCTCTTAGCAACTGATAAAGGATTACGAAGAAAAGTTGGCCATCTTCCACACTTACTGTAAGAACAAGATCACCGAAAAAAGCTTCAGCCAGACCACATATTGAAGATGGACGAGGTTCCTCTCAGACTTGACATCTCCGTGAGCCTTACTGTTGAAGTATAGAGACGTCTGCTGTATCTATACACACCATAGGAAACGATATATCATACTTCACTGTAGTTCTGGGTTGGAAGGCTAATGGATAGAAATCACTATCCATGGTTATTTTTAGGAGGAAAACTTTGCCGAAAGAAAGTGTTCCTGTTGGGCTCATCGTCAAGGTCAAAGCAAAGACTGGACGGACGAGGAGAAAATAAGCTACGGGCTGAGAGAAGTTTACGTTACGAGACCAGATGGCTTTTACCACACATCTCCGTCCTTATTGATCTACGACGCCATGTACTCCCATCTCACCAAAATTGTCAAACGCCAACCGAAGAAAACTAATTCGTAGCTTGCCAGCATTTCTTGAGAATTAAACAAAAAACACCAACTGCTGGATATTGGTGTCAACAGAGCGTCCATAGTTAAATTGCGAACCGCGTGTGACCATTGGATGACAGAAGGTGAGCACATGTTTAACAAGACAGGGTGGCAACGCCGGGCTATTTACGCCACTATCTGCCAATGGATGGTCGATGCCTGGACCAAGGTATCGGTTTCAACTGTCGTCCGAGCTTTCACGAAGGCCGGAGTCATCCATGAACAGCCAAGTAATAGCAACGAGACTGACTCAGATAATGACGAGCGGAAACTTGGCTTGTTTAATGCCGCTATCGCCCAACTGTTACACTTCGACATTGAAGATAAAGAATTTGATGGATATGTAGAAGAGGAATGGTTGAACAACTGAGCGTATTTTTCTGTGTTTATGTATGTTACAAGTGAACAATATTGACTGTTATTCTTAATGAGTTAAATTAAGTCTAAACTATCGGACCGTTGTGTTGATCTTTATGTGCCTGGTAATCTGATGTGCCTTATATATGAAATTAGACCCCTTCACTGATACTGTGTCTTATAATCCGGTGCGCCTCATCCTCTAAATCTTATGGTAATGTTTAGACTGGTACTTCACTTGAAAACCTTTACATGCTATCAAAATTCGGCAACACAGACTTTATTAAGGTAAGCTCAGTCAATTTGGATGCACTCGTTGAGAACGTTGTGCGGATGGAATTAAGTAAGCCGCCTCCATCTGGACTAGGATAAATCATGAAGCAAGCTGGGTCACTTTTTCTCTGGGCTTCATCTAAAACAAATAAAGTACCAGTTGTTTATTTGAAATAATATAAGCATCGATCGGTTTCGTAGTAAGTTAGAGTCCTGCGGTGGCAGTGAGACCTTTTACTCTGGAAACGCGCGCACAAAGACTACCACACTCAAAGCATATACTCATAGGAAAGATGAAACTAAACAGCCGTGGAATTCCTGGCTTTACGGAGGAACACCTAAACTAGCTGCCTCTAAAACGCCGCCAGGCAGATGAAACCTGCACATATTCTTATTTTCAATCTTTCCATAAAAAAGTAATTCATGGCTATCCAATATGGTTTATTTGCTGGGTAGCTGTGCTGATTTGCTTAGTGTGGTTTATGCGTTAGAATGCTTAAGTAAGCATTATAAGCTCTTTCAAACAGGAACACCAGATTTTGTGTCGAAAGTATGCCGTAGGTTTCAGTTTGCTGCTGGTTTCCTCTAAATAGCACTCGGCTGATAATATTTGCACAAGCGTTCTTTGTGCTCAGGATGAGGCATGCTGCAACACATGCATTGAGTATGAAAGGTTCGGATAAAAGTATAAGCAACGAAGACCACTAGGTCACAAAAAGAAAGCGGCAAGACCGCATTATATTAGTCGATAAACCCCGCAGCATGTTAAAATCTAGATCCGAGGAAAACCTGAACACATGAAGAATTAATACCTTTTTACTACATTTGGGCACCATGTATCAAATAGCTTTCTCGACAACTTTACGTTCACAAAACTGTTTGTTTAAATCCCTAACTACGAAGACAATTTCTATTTTATCAGTTGATCAAATGTCATCTTGACATGATGTGATCTACTGTGGTCAACTGGGGAACTTAAAGTCTATACATTGTGAAAGAATATTCGGCAAGTATACATATTGTTATTGAGACTACAATCTACATCATTTCGACACCCTTCCTGCTATAAAAGAACGATGCAAATCCCGTTTACAAGCTCAATACTAGTGTTCCGCTTCAAAATATATCATTAAACCCACTGGTTTTTAACTGACACTAGGCCATCTGTGCTGGATATGGTTTTATCCAGCGTGGAACATCTGATTTTTGTATTGGGTGTATGCAGACCATTTGGCCGCAGCAGCCATTCAGTCCTCAGTTTCAACTTAATCTGCTATAGAGATTAATGAAATAAGAAACCTGACGTCATGTGCACCAGTAAAAGGTACGACCGCCTAACCCAGGTTGTGAGTGCCCCAAGCTCGTCGTCCATAACGGAAAACCCACCCCCATAAGTAGACTGACTGGGATTCTTCTGTATATTCAGTGGTCTGATTAAAGCTGCTTTAGTAAAAGGTGCTTGCACTAGGCGTAAATAGGTTTCTTTCGTAATTAGCATTATGAACAACAGGATTGTGAGCTTAGAACTTATTTCC